TCGGAGAGGAAGAGGTCTACATCCAATCCTCTCTCTTTAATTCAATACAAAGAGAAACGATTCCTTATTGAAGGGGTTTGAAAATACACTCGGTACGAGACCGAGGTTTTAAGAGCAAAAGGGGTGGAAGCGTCTTTGTATTGACAGACGAGCATCGAGACCACCCTCACTACAGTGGGCATCCCCACGCTCGAAGAAGAAGGGGTCTACACCCAATCCTCTTTTTAGCTTAACACAAAGAGAAAATTTTAAGGAGATGAGATTTGAAAATGGATGGGAAGCGTCTTCGTATTGAAAGACGAGTGTCGGAACCACCCTCACTACAGTGGGCATCCCAACACTCGGAGGGGAAGGAAGTCTACACTTAATCCCCTCTTTTTAATTCAATACAAAGATAAACGATTTTGAAAATTGTTGACAAAGTTTTTGAATCGAGTTGGGACAAGAAGCGAGGAGAGAAAAGAGGTGGTCTCAGATCCAACATTACTCATCAATAATTTGACTGGTAATGGATTACGGAGGTCTCGTCATCGACCTAAAAGGGAAAAAAAGTCCAATAACAAATAAGAAATGAAATTTAATTTCTACAAAAAGATACAATGTTCAACTTATAAAAAGAAAATAAAAATAAAGTTCTAAATATAAAATTGTAATAGAAAGTATATAAACATAGTTAATATAATATATACATAAAAAAAAACTCTGATATATAACTCTAATAAAAAAATTATTTAAAGAAGTAAAAATGTAATCTAAAGAATATATATGTATATAAAACTTAGAAGTCAATAATAAATAAAAAAAATAAAACAAAAAAACAGGGGAGGGGGATTCGATGGAAATGGATGGAGTATTACGAAGAATCACACGAGCCTTTAGACAAAGCCCATATCTCCAAATAATAAGAAATAGTGATGCTGAAAATCATCAAACGGGCCAGAAAGCCCAACAACAATCTTAAGTCGTGGATCCAAAACAAAATAAACAAAAAGTCTAGCACCACAGGATTGTCTATCGGTCTTCACCAAAATTAAACCGTTGACCTCAAGGAAAAGCAAAACTATCTCATATTTCCATAACCAACGTCAGATCCTCAAACCACATCAAGACAAAACCAAGTTTCTCTTAAAATGAAAAGAAGAAAAAACGAGTTTCGAAAATAAACAAAACAACGGTGGAACAACAGCAACATCAGCGGTTTAAAGGCAAATTTAAAATGAGTCATGAAGAACAAATCAGACGGTCAAACATCCTTGCAATCTCTTTCGCAGATTTAGTTTACTTTGATTCGAACCTCTCTTGCTTCGATTTCACTCCAGGTTTGCGTTTGGCTCTCGTGTTTCATTTTGAGATTCGTGTACTTTGTGGTTTACTATCTCTTCTTTTATTCTCCATTATGGGTTTGAATTTGGTGATGAGTGGGTCGTGTTGAAGAAGATTGGTAGAGGTTTGTTATGAGTTGGTTAAGAAATCTGGGTTTCAATAAGTCAAAAGGTGGTTTTGTTCATCAATGGAGATTATGCTCAAGGATGATGGTGAATGTGAACAAGGTGGCGGCGGCTGTGTTGATTTGGGAGGTTGTTGAGGGTTCAGAGATTTTTTGTGAAGGTTCCCCCAGGCGAGCGACTTTGTGTTCTGCTATTTTTTATACACGCTCTGCGTTTTGCAATTGTTGGTTATGCCATCACCCCCCCCCCCTGTGATGCGTATCAGGTTGCAGTTATGGAGTTTGGAGGATGTGGTACAAACGGTGTACCGAAGATTTCATTCGGGGTTGATGTTGTTGTTCATTAATGGAGGTGATGTTTGAGGAAGGAAATGGTGCAAGGGATACGATATTGAAATCTGGGGAACGGGGTTCACGATTTAGAAGCTGCTATTGTTTAGCAGGTTGAGTGAAATGAAGTGGAAATTTCATGGTGAAAGATGTGGTTTTCTGGGCTTCAGTTTAAACAAGTTTGGAGAGTTTGGAAGACGAGTTGGGGTGAGTAGAGTTTGAAGTTAGTTGTAAATGGTGAGAGTTCGTTAGACTCAATGCCAGAAAACAAGACGAACCAAACAAACACAGAATAAGACTATGAATTCAGAAAGGGTAACAGAGTACTTACAGAGTAGGAGCAATACCACCAGATGGTTGATACAGAACACAGGTGAGCTCCTTCTTCAATCTCCTCTTTCTTCAATTCTTTGTGATGGAGGTGAGTTTATGAGAGAAAAGCAGCTGTTTTTTTGTTGTTAGGGTTCTTTTTCTGAATGAGCAGTAACCAATATATATGATGTGAGATTAGGGTTTAACTTGGAGAAATTGTGGGAACTTTGGGTCTGTTCCTCTTTGGGAAAGAAAGTGAGATGCTTTTTGCAATGGGAGCAAGGGCTGAAGTTGTGGGATTGAAAACAGCATAATCTTTGTCTGTTTGTAGCTTTTGAATTTGTCTGTTTTTACTCATGATTTTCACTGTGGTAACACAACAATTTTTACTGATACATTCAATTTCTTTGCAGGTTTATCATGATCCAGAGTTTAGTGACTTTGACAAAGACAAGAAAGAGGGATGTTTCACTCCCGGGCAGATTTGGGCTGTTTATGATGATATAGATGGCATGCCTAGATTCTATGCTCTAATCAAAAAAAAGTTTCTTCTCCTGGATTCAAGATGCAGATAACTTGGCTTGAGTTTTCTTCACAACCTGATACTTCTGTTTGCTTGTTTTGACCCTGCCTGCTTGGCATTAGGGATGACCAAATTCTTTTGTTTTGCCTTCCTAAGAAGTTGAGAAAGCACCTTTATGCTTTGGCCCCTGGAAAGTAGAAAGGAAATTGGGACTCCTGTAACTCGAGCCATCTCCACATAATTGTAAATGAACATCAATTTATCCAGAAGTCTCTGGGGGAGATATGCATCCTTCAAGCAATAAACTGCAAGGCGCCTTCGTGTTTCTGCATTTCCATTCTGAAGATCAGATATAATTGAATGATGAACATCCTCCTTCTGCTCGGAGAGGAAATGTGCCGACACAGAATTCAATGAATAAGAACTTAATTTGTAGTCTCTTTGCATAACCTGGAACAAATCAAACTGAACTCTCCCTTCTATTGAGATTTCTTTACTTTCCCTGGTCCCGTACTGCCTTGATGAAAAAGTTGTATCTTTTACTCGAACTCTACTGTTCCTGATACGGCCTAGAATTGGAAATTCTGCTATTTTCAGGGCTGCGGCTCTCTCAATTAGATATGGCAAGTCAAATTTGCAGATGTTATATCCAATAATAATATCAGGGTCTACTTCACGGATGAAATCCCTCCAAGCTAGCAGGACTTCTTCTTCTTTATCAAATGACATCACATCAACACCAACAATAGGGGAACATGATTTAAGGGTCATCACATTACGAATTAGTGGCTGGTCTTCTCCTTGTAAAGTTACCAGATTAGCAATCTGGATCACAGGATCTTGGGTAGGTTCGGGGAAATGTCCTTTGCGGCCAGCACATTCAATGTCAAAACTCAAAATCCGAAATGGAGCCATCTTTGAATATTCCCCTTCTGGAGCATGATTTTATGAAAGTTCCACTAATATATTCAGCAGCTTCTCTCCCCAGGTTCATAGCCTCTTCAACAGCAGAAACACCAAATTGTACCATGACTGAATCCGTGTCTCCATATATTACCTCAGCATTATGTTCGTAGCCATTAATTGTTGTAAATTTATCTTCCACAAGCTTTTTAGTGCGCTCAATCATTTGTCGACCATAGCTTGTTACACTTGATGATATCTCTAAGCAAGGTAACTGACCAATAGTAGCCCCTGTAAACCCATATATAGAATTTGCACTAATCTTTAGGGCCAACTGTCTGCCATCTAGAACAGCCTTCTCAAGGGGATCCTTTGCCTCCTTTAAGTCTGCTTTTGCCCTTTTACGGGCTGCTAATAGCTCTTCAAGTATTTCAGGAAGTATGCCCTTCTGTAAATTTGATTTAACAAATGTTTCACCAGATGGCGTTTTGTACACAGACTCCGGAGGGATGTTGAGATTGCGAGCATTTTCAGGGGTCACCAGTGTGCAATAACATAAGTTATATGCCATCATAATAGACGGATACAAGGAAGCAAAATCTAAAGTGGCAATTGGCTTTTCGTAAAATCCAGCCCTTGCCTCTAAAACAGTGGCACCTTCAAATGTTCCTCCTCATATCACCTCCCAAGTCAATGAATTCCAGCGCCCACCAATTCGGCTCTGAGCTAGAAGAAATAGACACAGCCGAGTCAAAAAAAGCGAAGACCCCAAAGGCCCAACTTTTGCTTTCTCTACCTTCAACCCATCATATGTAAGATCCAATCTCATGGCTCTCTTATTTCCCATTAAGCCAACTGCCTCAAAATAGATTGCTTTATCGGTAAGAGTGAGTTTGCCAGGCCATGCCATATTATTCTCCCATTTCAGAACAGGCTGTTTATTGTTGGCACCAATGCGTAAGATTTTTTTTCTCATCAATTTGGGGAAACTCTGGAATATGATATGACCTATTTTCTCCACGTACTTTGACAAACTCATCAATGTAAGCTAGCCACACACTCATGGAAATTCCCTCTTGATCGCCAGCAAGAGCCTTAAAAAGATGGTGCACCGTGGGACGGTCAACCACACCAGAGACTGCAGGAGCAATTCGGACAAAAGCCTCCTCAGTCACAAGTTTACTCTGTAAAGAAGCTTTCTCTGCATTGCTAGAAAGAACTTTAGTGTAAGGATTTTCCCAGGCAAGCATGGTTATGAATATCAACCTCTGGAAAGCAGGATCCTGGAGGGAAGGATGAATATCAGAACTGTCCCTTGACAAGAATCTAAAGCAGCAGTACTCAACAAAATTACGGGCATCAGTATATACAGTAAGTGTTTGAAAAATCTTCTTCATTTTCTTCCCGGTCAATCCGCTCATCCTGCTGAATTGCTCAATGCATATAACAGCAGCTAGAGAAAGAGTCCCATGTGCCGTTCTGCGTTCAATTTGTTTGCTCTGCCATAAATATATCTTCCATAACTTGAAATCCGATATCATTTTCAGGACCAGGCTTCTTACTTTGGCCAGATTTAGCAAGCGGAGAAGTCACTAAAAAGTTTTGGGTCCTTGACATCAATACATTCAATCTTTCTTGGATAGAACTCGCAGTTAGGTCATTGAGGTTCCATTTATTCCCCAAAGACTTGAATGAAAACTTTTGCTGAGAGATAATTCTGGTGGAATGCTTTCTGTGGCAAGAAATCACGTAATAATTCGGTGTCTTCAACTGAGTTATGGGAAACTTTGGCCCCATAATTTTCTTCTTTTTTGAGTTTTTGGGTACTGAATATTCAAGATCCGAGCTTAGAGTTCATAGCAGAAACCGAAGGAAGAATCAATCGGAAAAAAAAAAAAGAAAACTGTTGATACAATTAATTAATCATAACAGTGATTAATAAAGAAGTGTGAGATTTGAGAGAGAAAAAGATATATGTTTGCGCTTATCTCTGTGCTTTGGATTTATGTTTTAGATTTTAGTAGCCATGACCAAGCAAGAGGCATTGGGCTCGATGGTAACATCACCGGTCATCAAACCAACATCAGAAAACTCTTCTTTAAATTCTCTATACTCCTTATTTTTTTGAATTTTTCTGCTACGCTATTGTGTTCTTGTTGCTTTTTCTTGTGAAATATTTGTAATGAAGTTCTTCCATCCCCTGTAGTTTTCTGATTTTGCTATGTAATCTCCCTCTCAATTCTGTTGTGAACGAATTATTACTTTGAAGATATGAACTTTCTATTCAATCGTGAATCCTGAGGCAAACATGAGTCACTCCTCCTTTAAAGCATGAATTGTCATAATTTGCACCAAATTTAAAATAAATCCAACCATGACTTATCCCGCTTAATTCTCATAACCTCAATACTTATCTAAGGATGTGGCTCCAAGAATATTGGAACACCAAATCAAAGATACTCCAAAAAAATCTCTTAAAAACGATTCACCATGCCTTGAAAGGAATCAAACCTATCACTTGAATCAATCACCTCTAACCCTCGATTACGAAATAAAATTCGCCAGACCAAGATTAAGTCAAACCTGACTGATTTCCAACCTTTACAGGGCCCACACATTGATACACTTATCCCTTAAATTAACCTTAACCAAAAACCTATCCAATTCAGCCCAACCTTATGATGGAAGCAACATATATTTTTTTGATTTTTCTGCCCCTGACAATCACATATGCTTATCTGTTTGTCTTCAAGGACCTTGACTTGTCTCTGATAAGGGTAACCACTTGGTGACTTGAATATAACCTCCTTGATCAGGTTAAAAACCATTGGTAATTTTTGTTAGGCACACATTTCTTGATTCCCTGCGAAATGCAAAATGCTATGCAATGCAATGCTTATGTATGTGCTGATGCAAAGAAATAAAACACAAGCCAGAGAGGTCGGTCAAATTTTGGGGTACAACAGTTTGGACTTATAACTTGGGATTTATGATTTTCAACTTCACTTGAATTAACTTATGCCTCATTTTTAGGCCATTTTTATCACTTTTTGATATGAGCCTTTTCAACATCTCATGACCTCCCTACTAGCCTTAAAACATCATTCTAAGAAAGTTTGATGTTGAAGATTTTTCCATTTGAAGCTTGGAAGTAGGAGATATGGCCTTATGCTTGAAATGACCTATAACTTCCAAATGACCAAAATGCCCTTGGCTTGTCAAAGCCATAAGTTGAGTTCTACAAATCCTATCAAGGACTTATAGTACTATATAGAAATCTAAGAAGATGCTCTTCAACATTCATGTTGACCAAGATTCCATAGGAATCGTCCTACTAGGGCAAAAGTTGTCTGCAAGTTGGGTGACTTTCAAGGACCCAGATTCACATACCTCAGATGACCTGTAATTTGTCAAAACCATAACTTGAGCTATGCAAATCCTATCAAGGACTTCTACAACTCAAATTAAAGCTAAGAACAAGCTCTACAACATTCATGTTGTGGGGAAGATGAGATGACAATCACATCTTGAGCTAAAACTGCCTTGAAGATAGGGATCAAACTAAGGGATTTTACACTGTCAATCCTTAGAAACCCTAGCTTGAAACTTCTCAAACTCCTCAATCATGATGAGTTGGTATAGGAATCATCCTTATAGTATCTCAATACATCATTCCATGATCACATGGCCCTTGGATTAGGTCTCAACCTTCTCCAAATCATCAGTTGACCTAGGGTTGACCTAGTCAAACCCTAATTCTACCACTCATGGTTGAATCTTCTGAATTCTTGTATAATGACCTCTCTAGGCTTCATGATGGCTTTCAAGACATCTCATAAGCTTTCTTAAAGCTTCAAGTCTATCCACATAGTCTCAGAATCATCTGAGGAGCTCCCATAACTCTCAAGTTATGAAGACTTAGCATTAGAAGTGGAGATTAGGGGTGAGCCTGTATGCTTTGCATGCACCAGCTAGCCATGAAATTCGCGCTCCGACAAGATTCTCTTTAACGATTTTATTTCTAGCCCTTTGGGCTCGAAGGAATTTTGGATCTGAGGATTGTCGACTCTGGGGACCGATCATTTGGGATTCAGCTAAGTGAGGCCTCTTCGGGAAGTGATGATGCCAAACCAGAAATGGTGAATGTATCATCATTCTTGAAAGTCTGTGACGCTGATGAACACATAGAATGCAAACCTTGTCAGTGGATAGGTCCTTACCTGTGAGAGGGATGGGGTTGTGCAGGAAACTTTAGCCTTCAGATAACCCGATTCTTTACAGTTGGATTCTTGATATCAAGGGGTCCTAATATCAATGTTTGGTTATGACTAAAGCGAAGCGCCGATCTTCTCAAACTACAGCACAACAATTTTGATCTCCTGTTTGCATTTGCATTTTCATTTCTCTATTGCATATACATGTCTGCATTTTGCATTTTTGCATTACAGGTGCAGCGGAACTGTTAATCTTATTACCTGCAGTCAAGAGCTTCATTCAGGTTAGACTACCAGACATCTCGCCAGTATGCAGAGGGGGAATCAGTTAAGGGTTATGGAGCAAATTCAAGCGGAGCTGAGGAAGTACGAAGCCAGTTGAGGCAGTTCGTGGCAGAGGTGCAAGTGTTGCGCACAAGTCAGAACGTGCTCAGAGAAGAGAACCATCAGTTACGGACTCAGATGGGCTTGATCACATAGTGTTGTATCCCAAAATTTTCCCAACCTTTTCTTACCTGGTTTATGTTTCATTGCATTAACATTTGCATAGTTATATCATTTGTATATCATGATATTATTCATATAGCAGGGGATCAAGTGTGATTATTATCAAGAGGAGCCTAGCAAGAGGTCTCATTCAAGATTGAGAAGTTATCAAAGTCATCAGGAGGTGATTTGAGGGCCTGAGGGTTTAGATGTTTGAGTGAGAATCTTCTCCTAACTTGAGGATCAACTGAAGACCATCAGAGGGTTGTGAAATGTTGAATGTGAGAAGATGATGTGTATGGAGCTCATAGAATGCCTAGAGGGCCATGGGAGAGCTCTATCAAGTCATTCTGTCAGACACAAGAGCCACAGTTGAGGTGCAAGCAATTAGGGTTTCATCTGGGCCAATCCTATGTCAACTGTAAAATTGAAGAGTATCAAAGCCTACTTTTAGGTCATGGAGTCCATGAAATGATATTATGAGACATTTGTGGTGTTGTGCCAAGATCAAGTCAAGAAAAGTCAAGAGTGTGGGAGGTTGCTAAATTAGGGTTTTAGTGTAAAATCCCTTGTTTAGTGCCTAACTTCAAGACCATATAAGTCAAGACACAAGTTTAAAATAGATCTTTGGCCAACATGAAACTTGTATAGCATCTCAATACCTTTAATTTGAGTACTAGAAGTCCTCAAGGGGATTTATAGAACTCAAGTTATGGTCCAGACAAGTTACAAGTCCTCAGACGCCTCTGAAATTTGTCTGTGAAAATCATCTGACTTCAAAGCTATTTTTGACCTAGAAGGAGGTTTCACATGAACTTTTGGCCAACATGAAAGTTGTTCCTCATGAGCTTATCTTTCTAAATAGTACTATAAGTCTTCCATCTAATTTGTAGAACTCAAGTTACGTAGTTTACAAGTCAGAGGCATTTTAGGAAAGTGAGATTATAGGTCATTTTCAATCATAGGTCAAAATCTCTAACTTGCACTTGTCAAATGGATTTTTGTTCAACATGAAAGTTGTTCAAAATGTGGTTTTTAGGCTAGCCAAGAAGTCATGATGGATTGATTGGGCTCATAGCAAGACTTAGTTTGAATTGGTTTGAAAAAGGAAGATTTTCAAAGGATTAAAAGGGGGAAAATTCAAATAATTTGTTAAGTGACCAAAACATGTCAAATGAGTGATCATTTTGATTGTAAAATTCATTTTAGACACAATGACATTGATGGATTTTTGATTTTTGGTCAATTTTCATGAGTTTCCATATGGTTGCTTCAAATGCAAGTTACATATCCAAGCACTTCAACATTGCAATTCAGGCCATTCTATTGTTTCAATTTTGCTCACAATGCAATTTGCAGTTGATTGGAACCTTCTAGAGCAAGTTATACAACCTGAACTCGTGACTGCAACATTCGATTTCAAGAGAAAAATAGAAAATGCAATTGGCTGGATTGGGCCTCAAATTGAATTCAAAAGCCCATGGAAAAGTTCTATATATTCATTGGATTGATTTCAGATTAATTTTGGAGTCATTTTCGTGCCAGAAGCTGAAGTTGCAGTTGAACATTCAAGAGAAGCAAGTGAAATCGAGTTTTCAGTTTGAAGCAAGATCAAAGAAAATTGAAGGTTGCAAACTCTTCCTAGTGCATCATTGAACGTATCTGGAGAGTTTTGAAGGGAGAATCAAGCTCCAAGTGCCTCTGTTACTAGATCTACAACAGGTTAGTAACTTTCAAAATTCCACACGTTTTAGCATGAGATAGTTAGATTTGAACTTGTGGTTAGGATCTAGGCAAGATGTAGATCGTTTTAGGATCAGTTTGAAAGTATTTGGTGATGGTTGATCATGACATAGCATTTCTATTTGGATTCGAATCTCTTGATTCATGAGGAGTTAGAGCAAGTTGATTAGATCAGGTTGATCAGTGTAGCATAAGGATGATTTCTATGGTCTTAGATTTGCAATTAGTGATGATTGATCTAGATGCTATTTCTGAACATTGCTTCGTGTTTTAGTACCTATTGAGAGTTGGATAATTTGAGTTGGAGATTTGAAATCCTCGTGAGAAACTGAGTGAAATTGGTTTAGACTTTGT